AAAGTAGCCAAAAATTAGATAACAGAGATGGTACTAGAATAAAACAAGATGTAAGAGCTATGTTAGAATGTTTTTTTACAAAAAGTTTACTTTGGATGAACACAGCATTTACTAAGTAAGACTCTATAATAATTCAAATTAATAATAAGTATATTCAAATTTTTAATAACCTAAATTTTAAAATCTTACACTTAAGCTTTTTATACTACAAACATTAGATTATTGAAGTTTTTTAGTAAAACAAAACTATTTGACAAAAGCTTATTATTGTACATGGAGAAAGTTGATTAAATTAAGAGATTTCTTTTATGCAAAGTAATAACCTCCTATCCATAACATTTTTTTCTAGATCTGTGAATTTTTAGATCTTTTTTTTTTAAAAAAAAAAAAAAAAACTAAAGGTTTTTAAGTTGTCAGTTTTTTTTATTTCTGACTAAAGAATCAACTAATCAAAAAAATAGCAGTTAATTATTAAGACAGAATTCTCTAAGTACTATACTACACTAATTAACAATTCGAGATCTAAAATGAAATGTCTACCAGAAAACTATAAACTTATAATACCTGGATATATTATATGGCAGAGAATCTCTATTGCAAATTAGTACATATATATGGTATGCAATTTAGACTTTAAAAAGAGAGTAGCTCATGATTAGAGCTTTGTTATTCGAATAATGTTCATATTCAACGAATATTCAAATAAGAATAATTTAATGAATAATTCGAATAGGCAAATTTTATTTGAATGATAATATATTCGAATAATTTTTATAGTAGCTATATATTATTAGTTGCACTGCATCTGAAAACAGCATGTTATTCAAATAAATAGTACTTATTTAAATAATATTAGTCATTTAGCACTCTACTCATGATTAATGGAATCATTAAAAAAAAATTATTTTTAAGAATACAGAACTTAAGCCTTGCGAAAAGTAAGATATTTATTACTTATAATTATCTTTCAAATTGTAGAATATTTTATTTATATACTAATTCAAGCTCGTATTCTGTTGCCCTTTTTTTTTAAAGACTTGAGCATATGAATTTAACCAATTTTGTATTGTTTGAAATTTTGGAACATCCTCCCTTTCTATCTCGCCATCTTCAGCATATTCCAGGAGTTCATTATGCATAGCTTTTGCGCTTATTCTTTCATTACTTCTTTGATTTCCATATAAAAAAAAACATTCTAACATAGCTCTTACATCTTGTTTTATTCTAGTACCATCTCTGTTATCTAATTTTTGGCTACTTT